GATAATCCACACAGAAACGTATTGATCCATCTTTTTTCGGAGCCAAAACCACAGGGGATGCCCATGGGCTCTTAGATGGTTCAATAATTCCTTCTTCTTTCATTTCCTTTAACTTTTGCTCGATGATTTGCCGTTTAGCCGGAGCGTACCGGTACGGTGGTGAATTGAATGGTTTCGATCCAGGTATTAACTTGATTTGGTGTTGTAGAGTTCTCGTTCTGCCATTTCGTTTTCTGAAGATATCTGAAAACGCTTGAATCAGGTGCTTTAACTGCCCCTTCTGTCTTTGACTTAAATTGGTGTCAGTTAAATCCGTTTCCGTCTCCGTCTTCGTTGCAGAATTAGGAGAAGGTGCTTCGTTTGATATGTTCCCGGCTTGTTGTAACACATTTACTTGTACTTTGTTGAGCCTTGTCATCGTAGCTAGTTTCTGTCCGGGTTGAATGATGATCGGCTTCTTCGTTAAGTTTGCTACTTGGATATTCATAGATTCTTCGGGATTAATGATGCCATTCGCCACGCATGGAGTTTGTTTAATGGTGGTTATTTCATACACTGAGAATTTGTCACCTGCGCCACCGATTTTTTTATTCGGTCTTACTCGAACATTGGACGCATGCAAAGATGGTAATTTAATACATTCACTCGCTAACAGAGTATATTCGTCTTCCTCTTCTCGAGTGGATTTATAATTTGGTGTATTCGATTTCATTGCGACAGAGCCTTTAAAATATACCCGTTGACGGCCGCCATCTATTTGAAGGTTATATTTCCGAATAAAATCATTTCCGATAATACATGGTCGCCATAAGTTTGGGATAACGTGAACTGTATGTCGTCGGGTGTGGTTTGCAATCGTGATTGGAAGTATAAGGATCTTTTGTACCTGTAGGCACGATTTATCAGCCAGATGTACATCTAGGTTCACCGTAGGGTATCGTGCATGTCGACGAATGTAATAGGGTAGTTGGTAAAATAGGTTCGAATTTATTAATGTTAATGAGGCACCTGAATCGATAAGCATTTTAGTCGGCTGTTTCGCTATAGTTCCGTTTACAGTAAGTGGATTTGTGTGATGAGTTTGAATAGAGTGCGTTTGAGCCGACATTTGAACGGAATTCCTTACATAGGAGCGCGTCTGGTCCGTTCGTCCAGTGCTCCAATGTCGTTTTTTGAATTTTGTTTGCCTCGTTCTTGTCGATACGTTCCATATCGTGTTGGACAATCCCTTGCCCAGGGTCCCTCTCTGCCACACTTATAGCATCCTTCATAATGACCCTGTTGTGATGACATTAGTTCTACCGTGGTATGATCTGAATGATTTGGGTACCTATTAGGTGTTACTTCGTTCACTTGGTAGGCTTTTGTATCCTTGAAGTAATTTTGTCGCGAATAATCATCGCTATAATGCTTTCTGGTTGATCGTTCTACATCCATAGGAGATGGTTGTTTACATTGATTTAATAGGCGTTGATTCTTGGCTCGTCGATATAAAATCTCTTCTATTTGTTGTACTTCGGCCATCAACTCGTCTAAAGAAACATTACGAGGTGTTCCTATCATGTTTAATAAATCGTTTCGCATCCGACAAAACAGATGTTTGACCAGATCAGCTTCAGTTTCTTTCGGCTTTTGCTCCCTCCACAGAGCACGAAGGCGAACGAGAAATTCATTTATAGTTTCATCTTCTTTTTGCTTACATCCATGCCATTCTTGTTCTTGTTTTGCTTTACGAACTGGTGAATTAAATTGTGCAAGAAAGACGTCCGTAAATTCAGTCCATGTTTGTGGTCGGCGATGCGACATCCGTAGTTGACAATACCATTCTAACGCTGAGTCTCGTAAAAATTGTGAAACACCGTTAAGTAATGTGGGACGATCCCACGCATGTACTGATTCAGCATATTCTTGGACTCGGATCAAAAATTGCGTTGGACTTTCCGAGTGCTTTCCGTGAAAAACTGGAGCTGCTGATGATGGTGGTACTATGATGGAATGTTTTACGCCGTTTAGTGGAAATACCGATTGTGTTGTTGCTTCCTGTTTCGCTTCCGGTTCCACCCTATAGGGGTTTGTTAGAAAAGGATGTTCCGATCTATGTGTCGGGGCATAGGGGTTTGTCGAAAAAGGATGTCCCGAGTTGTCATCGGTGTTCGACGATATGTTTCTTGTTCCTGTAAGACATCCCAATTTATTCATGATACAATTCATGTTAGTGTTCATATCTTCAAGCATATGACGCCATTGTCGTTTATTTTCTTCATACTTGCTCGCAGCTTCGTCGAAATACGACGCAGTTAATGATTGAATTGATTCCATTTTCTCAAACACTGTTTGAAATTCCGTTCTGGTTGAATTTGTGTTTTGTTCACGATAATCTTGAAAAGCTTTCAACATCTCGTCGATTTGACCTTGTAATTGGGTAATTTTACTTGCGTTGCTTGCCTCACCATTCATTGTTCCATCAGCATTCGTTTGAATTCCAGTCGTACACGCATTTACATTTTGTTCCTGATGTTCACTAAATTTCGTCAATACTTCTTCCAATTGACTTTCTAACTTGCTAATTCTCTTTGCGGTGGTTTCCTGCACTCCCACAAGTCTATTCACCGCTTCTTGAGCTGATACGTTTTCAGTAGACATTTAATAATCGATCAGAAGATTGTGTAGATATTTTTCTATTCTTTCTTCTTCCAGGTTTCTCCTGCCAGGGTCGCCAAATGTAACGAAATATTTTATTTGAGTATTGAGTCGTAGAGAAANCTACTGTAATTATCATTCTTAAGAACCAGAAGAAATTCAACGATGAGGAAACGCAAATATATGAATAAGAAGGGGTGTATATGCCCATATCCAAAAGGGGTACGTGGCTTTTCCGAATATCTGAGAATATAGGTTATTGGCACACCCTCACACTCAGATGAGACGCGCTCCTGAGCGTCTCTATCGTGGAACTTCAAGTTAGAGCATGCACACACACACAAAAGGGATATCAAATGTTAAGGTTAAATGGTACATAAAAAGGGGAGAAAAAACTATTCAAATGTGTGTAAGAAATGTACTTATAACATAAATGTAGATGAAATTCTGTAAAAAGAATTGATCAATTTTGGTCTTGTAAAGCTTGCAGCGTTTTCATTGATGGCATTGTAATGGCAATGTTGGTACCCACTGGTTTTTTCTTATGAATATAATATAATAGGGTGACGCCTAACACAATAACCATCATCATTGTAAGGCTGGTACCAACGAAGATTGTATGTTCTTTCCAGCCTTGAAAAGTATCCGCTGTTACTGGTTTGGGAGTATTTGATATGAAATCTATTATCGCTTGCATCTCCGAAGGAATATATGGTAATTTAGCCCAATGCGTTTCGTTGGCTAGGTTAGCTTGTATGTCTAGCAAGTCCTTTTGCATGGGGCTGACTGATTCATTATATATTAAGTGTATCGGCTCACCGGCTGTGAGAGGTAGTCCTGGTAGAAAAAAAGTGATCACAGGCTAACGAGTCTGTATTCATGGTTGTGATCAATGCGACTGGAGGCAGCACAATTTCTTCCTTTTCGTGAAGCGAGTGGTGATCTATATCCGATGTTGCGACTGAATGACATTTCGTTGTTTTGTTAGATGATATTGCCCAGTGTTGTCCGATGCGACTAACGAATACTGTGTCAGGGTATGGCTCCACGCGACAATCGTTTAATTTTGAATCGGTCATTATTTGGTAAAGGCAATCAGTTTGTGATTCTTTACGTCTAGCCGGGGTTTCCCGGCATGAAGACATCTGCATAAAATCACAAGCTTTCGCTTCTTCTTTTGACCAGCGAATAAATTGTTGCGATTTTGATTCAATTCCTAGGAACGCAGGCATTTGAGCTAATCGCACTCGTTTATTGTCTAGGTTAAATGGTACGGCTAATAGTTCGTATATTGAGAATGGGTCTTGATCCTGACTGGGCGCAGCAAAAAATGACGTGAATATTAATTTTCCAATTAGAGGACCTTGATCGGTGGATTCTGGATCCTTTGTTTGTACGAAATCAATTTGTTGGCGGACTAGCAACCGAGTAATTAGCGCTACAGTGGGAATCGAATTATCCATTTCGTCAAAGGTGATATTTATTGCTTGGGATATTAAGTCGACTACTTTGGGTAAATCTTGTTGATGCACGAATAGTAAATTTAATTGATTAGATAGTATTTTTTCGATTGACGTATAAACAAAATGAGTTTCCATTGCATGCACGACCGACGCTAGTCGGGTACTTAAAAAGATTGTTTGAGATATAATTGTACGTAGTGCTTCTTCATGTTCGCGTAGTATATACGCGTGTTCATTAACCATTGCTATCGTTTTGTTTAACGCCACTTGTGTATAATTAAGTTCCTGTGCTAATTTGAGTTGTCCTTCGTTAAGGTGCAATATTTGCGCTTGGAAGCTTTGTGTTGTTTGATCTAAGACTCGGAGAGAGTCCTGAACTTGCCTTACATCGGCTCTCAAATTTGCTGATTGAATTTGGTTAATTAGTGTCATCCCTGCTGCTGCGATGCCTGCTCCAATCGCGATAACTAGCGGCAGCCCTCGTTTCGTTCGTATTCGAGGTGTTACGAACGGTGTTGTGCCTCTTGCTGTTGATAACGTTGAGGGCATGATGAATACTTTTGTTGTTCTCTTATCGGTTATTGATTTGTTTGCTCCCGACGTGAATGATTCTTTTCCATGGTTCTGCATGTATGGTGAATCTGATTGACAATGAGGAATTTTCCTCTTTGCTCGTTTTGGAATTAAATAACACATATCTCGTACCATCGGGATAGTGACTGTAAAAGTAACGATTTTATCTGCTGGTCGGTATTCTGATAAATAATGTAAAATCAAGCCTGATTTTGTATGCACAATATCAGTCTTTGGTATTGTAAAATTAATCAAGCCCGATACTTGCATTTTTCGCATACCCTCCATCGTAAATAATACGTGAAATATTGTGATTGTGAGTAACATTGGTTTGGTTTCTTCCAAATAATTATATATATTTTTGTGAGTGACGTATGGAAATATATTGATCTTTTCTGGTGTTTTGTGTATTTTCCATACTTATTTGACTGGCATTACTACCATGTTACTGTTGGTATCGAACTGGCAGTCTTCTCTGCCGCTTCGATGGAGGACGTCGCACCACTTGGTCCGTCGTTATCGGTTGCGTTGTGGATGCGTCCAAAATAGATGAGTCGGAATCTTCTGTTGATAGCACTTCCCGTTGTCGCTTTGACCCGGGGTATGTCGTCTCTTGATCAATAATTAACTGCGACCTAGTAGACGAACTCGACGTTGCTGCGTCAGAGTCTTCATTGGTTATGTCTGTTTCCATACTCGTTTCTAAATTTGCTGGTTGTTGCATTGCAATGTCTGATTCTTCGTCATCCTCATTTTCACTATCGGGTAGTGGAATTCGCATTGCTATCTCTACTTGTGAGTTAAAATTGCTGTTGCTATTCGGCAATGGGAGTTGCACTGCATTGTCTGCTTGCGTGCCCGCACCATCTGCAATATCTGGTTGTGTTTCTGCATTCTCTGTAATCTCCGCTTGCATCTCAGTGTCGTCAGCCATATCTGATTGTGCACCGGCTCTGCTTACACTGTCGGGTTGAGAACCAGAGTCCATTGTATTGTCTAAAGGTGTAGCAGACAATGGCTCGAAGTAAACTTTCAACCTATCAGCATTTGTGGCTCCTAAATTGACGCTGTCCCCCATCCTGTGAACGATAAAAGTTGAGGGATTTAGTTGTTTGACAACTCTGCATGGGCCTTGATATCGGGGTTGTAGCTTGCCCCGGACCAGGTGGTCTCCAAATCTCGCCGTTGTGTTGGCTACCCATACCAGATCCCCCACTTCAAACCGCCTTTGTGTAGTATGTCTATCATACTTCGCTTTCTGGTTCCATTTTTCCACTTCGGAATGCTCACGCACCAGATCGAATGCAGAACGTAGATTATTGATTAGATTCATTCTATAGTAATGAACTTGCGTTTGCGCACCAATTGTAGGGGGTAGTCCTCTTATTGGATCCCCCACGATTAAGTCTAATGGTGTTCTAGGATCTCGCCCGAACATCAAAAATGCTGGAGTGTCGCCGGTTGTTTCATTAATCGATGTCCGTATGGCGAAGGCTAATTTCTGTATTTCTTTATCCCACGAGTGCGGTGATCGTTGTGCGAAAATTGCAATGAGCGGTTTTAATGTTCTATTAACTCGTTCTGACATATTGCTCTGTGGATGATAATTGGCTGTAAATTTTTGTTCTATTCTGAATGAACGACAAAAGTCTTCGAATACGTTAGAAACGAACTGTGGACCATTATCAGATAAGATGTATTTTGGCAATCCGTATCTTGAAAATACTTCGTTGATAAGTATTTGAGCAATATCCTTAGAAGTTGTGGTGCGCATTGGAAATAGTTCTATCCACCGAGTAAAATAATCTACGACTACAAGCAAAGATCTTTTTTGACGAGACGTAGTAGGAAATGGTCCCATCATGTCTATTCCTAGAGTGTGCCATGGTTCCAACACTTCATGTAATTGCATTGGCGTTGCCATCGGCATATTGTTATACTTGAATTGTTGACATTCTTGGCAAGCGGCTACATAATTATATATGTCCTTCCGCATTGATGCCCAATATACTCGAGTTGCTAGACGAAATAAAGTTTTCTGTTGACCTGCATGACCGGCGGTTGGGTGATCATGAGCCCATTGTAATAACTTGTATTGCATAACTTTTGGGATGACCAAAAGATGCTTATTACCTAAGGCACGTTGGTTGTAATGTCGATTTGAATTCTTTATCTTGTATAATATATCATTTATTAAAACAAATGGTTGTCTTTTATCATTAAATAGAGTAGGAATTATTGTTTTTAATTGTTGAATAATTGGAATTAGTTTCGGATCTGCTTGCTGTTCTTTCTTTATATCTTCTAAAATATTCGTGTTTTCCCATAGGTTGATTATTGTTTCGATCGTTGAGATTTCATACGAATTTAAGGAATTACTTGTGTTGTTATTCGCACGTATCGTTCTTTCCTCACTTTCATGGTCTTTTGGGTTTATTTGTCCAATGGACTCCATTATGCATGTTGTAACCGGATTTCGTGATAAAGAATCTGCATTAGCATTTGCTGCTCCTGGGCGATATTGGATGCTTTCTATTTGAAAAGCTGATAGCTTCATAGCCCATCGAGCCAATCTGCCACTAACATCCTTTGCATTCTTTAGCCATTGTAAAGCCTTGCAATCAGATCTAATAAGTACTTTCGTTCCCTCCAAATAGGGCCGGAAGTGTTGTGTTGCCCATACAATGGCAAGTGCTTCGCGTTCTGTTGCACTATAATTCCGTTCTGCTGATGATAGTGTGCGACTTGCATATGCAATAACAAATTTCTTTTTGTCGTACTCTTGTGCGAGTACGGCACCCAGTCCATATTCGCATGCATCAAGCTCCAATATAAATGGTTCATTAAAGTTCGGTGTATTCATGATTGGAGCATTGACTAGTTTACTCTTTAAAGTTTCGAATGCTGTCGTACATTCTGGAGTCCAATTCAGATGATAGTTTCTCTCTTTCAGTTGTCGTAACTGTTTTATGAGAGGTTCGGCTATCTTCGAATAATCTTTAATAAATCGCCGGTAATAACCAGTCAATCCCAGAAATGATTGTACGTCTTTTATTGTTCTTGACTGTGGAAAATCAGTAACCGCTTTCGTCAATGTTGGATCAGGTTTAATGCCATCTTGAGTAACGATATGCCCTAAATATTTCATTTCTCTTCGACAGAAACAGCATTTCGACCCTTTGAGCGTTAAATTTGCCTCTCTTAATGCCAGAAATACCTTTTCCAGGTCGAGGAGATGTTGTTCGAAATTCGGCGAATAAACCACGATATCATCTATATATACTAAACAACATTGCCATTTAAGTCCGGCTAAAACAATATCCATCAAACGCTGAAAAGTCGCTGGTGCATTCGTCAACCCGAAAGGCATGACATTGAATTCATACAGTCCCTTATGGGTAATAAAGGCAGTTTTTTCTTTAGAATCTTTATCCATTTCGACTTGCCAATATCCTGAACGTAAATCTAACGTTGACACGAACTTTGCTTCTTGCAATGAATCGAGTGTGTCATCGATTCGTGGTATAGGATATGCATCCCTAGTAGTCATTGAGTTCAACTTACGATAGTCCACACAGAAACGTATCGATCCATCTTTTTTCGGAGCCAAAACCACAGGGGATGCCCATGGGCTCTTGGATGGTTCAATAATTTCATCTTCTTTCATTTCCTTTAAATTTTGCTCGATTATTTGCCGTTTTGCCGGAGCGTATCGGTACGGTGGTGAGTTGAATGGTTTCGATCCCGGTATTAACTTAATTTGGTGTTTTAGCGTTCTCGTTCTTCCATTTTGTTTCCTGAAGATACCTGAAAACGCTTGAATCAGGTTCGTTAACTGCTCTTTTTGTCTTTGACTTAGATTTGTATCAGTCAAATCCGTTTCCGTCTCCATCTTTGTTGCAGGGTTAGGAGAGGATGCTTCGTTTGATGTTTTTCCAGCTTGATCTAACACATTTACTTGTATCTTGTTGAGCCTTGTCATTGTAGCTAGTTTCTGTCCTGGTTGAATGATGATCGGCTTCTTCGTTAAGTTTGCTACTCGAATATTCATAGACTCTTCGGGGTTAATGATGCCATTCGCCACACATGGAGTTTGTTTAATGGTGGTTATTTCATACACGGAGAATTTGTCACCTGCGCTACCGATTTTTTTATCCGGTCTTACTTGAACATCGGACGCATGAAAAGATGGTAACTTAATACATTCACTCGCTAACAGAGTGTATTCGTCTTCTTCTTCTCGAATAGATTTATAATTTGGTGTACTCGATTTCATCGCGGCGGAACCTTTAAAATATACCCGTTGACGGCCACCATCTATTTGAAGATTATATTTCCGAATAAAATCATTTCCGATAATACATGGTCGCCATAAATTTGGGATAACGTGAACTGTGTGTCGTCGGGTGTGATTTGCAATCGTGATTTGGAGTGTAAGGATCTTTCGTACCTGCAGGCACGATTTATCAGCCAGATGTACATCTAGGTTCACCGTAGGATATTGAGCATGTCGACGAATGTAATATGGTAGTTGGTAAAATAGGTTCGAATTAATTAATGTTAATGAGGCACCTGAATCGATAAGCATCTTAGTCGGCCGTTTCGCTATATTTCCATTTACCGTAAGTGGATTTGTGCAATGAGTTTGGATAGAGTGCGTTTGAGCCGACCTTTGAACGGAATTCTTTACATAGGAGCGCGTCTGGTCCGTTCGTCCAGTGCTCCAATGTCGTTTTTTGGATTTGGTTTGCTTCGTTCTTGCCGATACATTCCATATCTTGTTGGGCAATCCCTTGCCCAGTGTCCATCTCTTCCACATCTATAGCATCCTTCAGGATGGAACTGTTGTGGTGACGTTAATTCTTCAGTGGTATAATTTGAGTTATTTGGGTACCTATTAGGGGTTACTTCGTTCAGTTGGTAGGCTTCTGTATCCTTGAAGTAATTTTGTCGCGTGTGTTCTTGATTCGGACGGGAAGTTATTCGTCGCGAATAATCATTACTGTAATGCTTTCTAGTTGATCGTTCGACATCTACAAGTGATGATTGTTTAACTTGATTTGATAGGCGTTGATTTTTGGCTCGTCGATACAAAATCTCTTCTATTTGTTGAACTTCGGCCATTAACTCGTCTAAAGAAACATTACGAGGTGTTCCTATCATATTTAATAAATCGTTTCGCATCCGACAGAATAGGTGTTTGACCAGATCAGCCTCAGTTTCTTTCGGTTTTTGCTCCCTCCAAAGAGCACGAAGGCGAACTAGAAATTCATTTATAGTTTCATCTTCTTTTTGCTTACACTCATGCCATTCTTGTTCTTGTTTTGCTTTCCGAACTGGTGAATTAAATTGTGCCAGAAAGACGTCCGTAAATTCAGTCCATGTTTGTGGTCGGCGATGCGACATCCGTAATTGACAATACCATTCTAAAGCTGAGTCTCGTAAAAATTGTGAGATACCGTTAAGTAATGTGGGACGATCCCACGCGTGTACTGATTCAGCATATTCTTGAACTCGGATCAAAAATTGTGTCGGACTTTCCGAATGCTTTCCATGAAATGCTGGGGCTGCCGATGATGGTGGTACTATGATAGAATGTTTTACGCCATTTAGTGGAAATACCGATTGCGTTGTTGCTTCCTGCTTCGCTTCCTGTTCTCCCCTGTAGGGGTTCGTTAGAGTTATAAAGTTCTATTATAAACACGTCGTGATATTGTTTACTATCGAACGCGTAGAAAAGCATTCCGAGATATTTCTGATTTCTCGATGAAATTTTTAAAAAAAATTGTAGCTCTGTTACGGTATTGATCTGCTATTAAATCAGATGACTTATTCATTTTAATCCGATTCAGTTTTGAAGTATTCAAGAAAGCATATCAAGTTAGATTTCAACCATAGCTTCTAGAGAATAGGTCCAGTATAATACTTCGAAATATTTGATATTGCATCAAATATTTTAATCTTCTATATCATATGTGCCATTGTATCTTTCATTATTTTCGATTAATCA